GAGGTAATGAAATTTAAAGGTTGTAAAAAAAATTGTACAATAGATTGAAATTTCTTTCAGAAAAAGCTAAGTATTAAAGAACGGTCATGTAAAAATTTCTAGTTTCGCCCGTTAATTCAATGTCATTTTTGACATATGTAAGCGCAAGTAATTGGTAAGCATGGCAAGTCTCACCAAAGCGGCACAATGACTAATAAGTTAAGTTGCAAGTCAAAATTTGGACAAGTTAAAATTATTTCTTGTTGTCCGACAAGACAACCACATCTGAAAATAAGCATCGAGGCCTGTAAATTATAGCACATTTTCCCACATAGATATAACAGGTCAATTTGGCAAGTCGCAAACTCGCCGATTATTCGTTTTAGTGCTCATCAACCAATAACGCCAGACTAGAGTGGGACAATCCTAGTTTAGCACCCCGGATTAGTTTAGCATCTATGTGAACTATATATACCGTGGTACCAAACTAGGATTAAACACTAGTAGTAGTACTAGTAGTAGTAGTAGAGCCTAGTCTAGAGGCTATACGAGTTATAGCAAACATTCAGACTAGCCACAAGTTCCCATCTCGCTTAACACTACGTGGCGTCGTCGTGTAACAGTCGGAGAGCCTGGTCGGTTTACATTCAGACATTACCGTACGCAAACTGTTTATTTGCCACGACTTTAATTATTGAAACAAACAAACTTTCGGTTCAAGGATAGAGAACATGGGGCCCATTGAAACCTATGTCATTTTCGTAAATGTGGGGGTAGCCCCTTTAAAATCGACAGGGGTACTGGTGAGGGTGTTCTTTGTTCATTTCAACCGATAAACATGATGTGAGTTAACAGGAAGTGTAGAAAAAAAAGCGTTGAAGCGACCCTACTCGCCCGTTTTCGGCCGTTTTCGGCCGTTTCTCACCATTGCAACGCGCGAGCATTTCCCGTCACCTTCCTCTGCTAGGGCCCTGAAATCTATGTCGGTATTTGCGCGTGCCATTAACGGACTCATATTACTTGCTCTCCGCAGTAAATTACCTGGAAATCCGTTGCTATTCGATCTTTTTGGGAGAACTCATAAATCACAGCTCACAACATGGCCATTGTTATTGACTGTACCCTGCTGCCCTCTCGCGGCAATATTATGCATTCGCCCGCCCGCCCGCTCGACCTCTTCCAGCAGCAGCAAACAGCAGCAGCAAAAACAGTTCTCTTGCGGCCGGTGCGCGCTGGCCACGCGAAAGGTCCATACCGTAGTCATATACAGTACGTGCCACCCCCCCCCCTTCCCAGCTCCACTGCTGCGCGCACCTCTGTCTAGATCGCTGTGTAGCCTGTAGTGTACGTGTAGTGTGTGTGGGTAAACATTAGGTTTAGCGTCGGAAACTAACTTGCAAACGCCACCGCCAGATGGCGCTACGCGGTCTATCGGCGTTTCGGGCGTATCAGTGGAACATCGTCAGTACTCTCGTAGCTATGTCTCGTAGTTCTGGTACAGGGTAGCGAAGGAGCAGTGGTACAGTAGGGAGGGGAAGGGAGGAGGAAGTTTAGAGTAGTACTAGTAGGTGGAGGTAGGGAGAACCCTTCTATCTCCACCACCTTCTCCCTTCTCCCCTTCCTCCTCCACCAGGCTTCTTCCCCTTCCTCAATTCTCCACCAGCTTCTGCCCTCCTCCTTCTCCACCAGCCTTCTCCCTTCTCCCCCTCCTTCTCCTCTTCCTTTCCTTCTCACCAGCTTCTCTACCTCCTCATTACTTCACTAG